CCAAGGCCGTGGAGCTGCCAAAGGGCAAAATCAGGTTTTGATCTAATCCCAGTGGAACACAGAGGTTCCGCTGTAGCTTCTCTGGTAGGTGATCTCCGTTCTCAGGAGTCTTTCTGTTAGGACGATGGTTTCTCACCCAGTAATCCCCTACAGCAAGTGAGAACTTCCACATGTGCCACATCCTATGGAAATACCCCGATGATATTTAGATTGTGATTTTAAAGGGCTCATATTTTCAACATTTAGTTTTATTTATGTAGATGTGTATCTACTTGCTTGTGTGCTACATGCATGCAGTGCCCATAGAGGCCAGAAGAGGGCATCAGATCCCTTGGAATAGGAGTCACAGATAATTGTGAGCTGCCTTATATAAGTGCTAGGAACTGAACTTGGGTTCTCTGCAAGAGAAGCCAGTGCTCTTAACCACTGCATCATTTCTCTATAACTGTACATCAGCAGGGGGAGCCTGGATTTGAGCCAGGGACCTCTTGATCTGCTGTCTAATGCTCTATCCTTGAGCTATACCTCCTGATGGGGCTCAAGTTTTAACAAGCCCACACATGGCAAGAGGGAAGCGCAATCCAACACCCTGTCAGAAGGTGATGGGCCTCTAAGGCATGAGCCTTCATGATGGGTACAATGCCCACTTGTATTCCAGGAGTTATACCCAACACACCCATGCTTTATTATGATGATGACTAATCCTTTTTCCTTTTCACTTATATAAAATCCTCAGTTTTTAGCTAATCCTAATATTGAGCTGTACTAACATCCTATGAATGCATAGTCTGTGGAGCTTTAAAAGGGCCAGAGTTCTCTCTGATCCCTGTTTCATCTAGTCCTGTTCACTACCTGGTCCCCGGAGGCGTTTAAAGCTTGCAGCCTGAATTACAAAATTCCTGGTGTAGGGACCACATCACACGTTCTCTGTGCTACCATCTGTGTAGAGAGAGCTACCCAGCAACGGGGAAAGCAGAAATGAGGACAAAGGGCCAGCCTGTCTGAGCAGCAGTCACCTCTTTGTTGACTGAGCTTCGTCTCTGGTTAACGCGAGGAATGATAAAGCTGACGGATGATTGTGGAGGAGCTAGTACATATGCAGATAGCCCTGGGCTCAGTGCAAAATGCTGGGAGAGGGGTGAGGGGCAAAGACTATGAAGCCAGGGGTCAGGGGAACCAGGTCTAGTTCCAGGTCAGTTGCCTTCCATGTCTTTGACCTTGGACAGCATCATTTAAACTTTCTGAGTCTTTTCCTTGTCTGAGAAATGAAGTTATTTCCTGCCCTGGCTCTCCCGCGTGAAGAACAGACAAGACACGTGAAAGAACACCGAGGAGGGGGAAAATCACAATCAAAATGCCAGGGAGTGGCATTTTAAGGAAGAACACAAAAATGACAGCGTTAAACCTAGAATGGGAGCCCCTAGCTCTTCTTCCCAGGGCGGTGCTCCACCCACCCCACCACTCCTCCCTCCCAGGTCCCTTATGAATATCAGTCCTCAGGAGCTGGGTTTCCACGGCCGAGGGTCCATGAATGCACACGGCCACCACTCACACTCTGTACATCCCTTCCGATCACATCCCGGTCTTAGTCCTCACCAAGTCTGTAGCCATGGATATGGTTAAGGACCACAGTTACTCAGCCCTCATTTTCACTCTTTACAAGTGTCTGGTGAAAGTCTGGAGCCAAGTTTTGTGGGTGTGGTAAAGCAGCTAGGTGAGGTTTTATTTTTGGAAGGCTCGGGCCTTTGAGGTCATCTGTGAGTTAGGAGTGGCTTGGGTGGGGTGGCACCATTTCTGTTCCATAAATAAAGGGGGAGTTCAGCTCCTGGGGGACCCCAGCCGCTGCTGCTTAAGTCTTCCAACTCATATCCTTTAGGAGGGGAGAGTGGTGTTTTTTTTTTTTTTTTTCAAGAGGACAACCAACCACTTATGTGATTCAAGGGCTCCTACACAGGTGG